CTTAACGGGATAGACTCCATCGATTATGCGTTACCCTTAAGTGCATGTAGCTCAGGTATAAATAGATGAGACCCAAAAGGAGGAAATTCAAGCTAGATCAAGCTAATAATACATACCCAATTCTCGAATTCTCGTTCTGAATTTTGTTCTTACGATCCGCTTCGTGAATCAGATCATTTGGTGGATTTATTGTCCATCAAATTGGTGCTCTCGTTGAGAGTTCGAGAATCATACTCAGAGGAAACCCTCCATTAAGACGATGGTGCAAACACGCAGTAACGCCAATGTGGGTACCGGAGTTCCCCAACAGGGGGAGAACAGCACCACTGGAGGTCGGAACCCTCCCATCACCACCGGAGAGGCTGAGGCCCTCATTCAGAGGGTTGGAATCACGGCCGAACAATTCAAAGAGGTGCTGGCCGCACTTGCACCTAACCGCGAGGTTGTGGTAGAAGAAGTGGCTGGGGGACCCACAGGCGGGAAGGCTGGACCCGCGGGCTCCCAAGGGAAAAAGAAGAAAGTAAGGCGATCCCAGAAGAAGAAGGCGACCAAGCCTAATGGGAAAGTCGTGATGGCGGATGCGCTTTCCAGGTTGGACGAAGAGGACGAGTCGTCCTCCTTTGAGCGGATGTCTGCCTTTGACCATTTGGGAGACCCCAAGTCAAAGAAGCCTCGGACCTCTGCGTTCGAACGGTTGCAGGACACTCGGTCGGCCCGAAAGGGCGACTTGAGGGATGCGCTCAAGGAGAAAAGGGGGGAGTCCACAGCGACCTCCAAGATCGATCCCGAGGTGCGACGGACGACGGTCGAAGGCAAAGGCGCAGCCGAGCTGTGGAGAATGTACGAGCAACTGGAGAAGCGGCTGGACGCCCAGAACCCCTACCGCCAGGCGGTCTTCAGCGAGGTAACACCCTTCTCCAGGAGGATAATGTCTTGTCCTCTCCCGGATAATTTCAAAACTCCCTAAATCAAGGCGTACAACGGGACGACTGATCCCCAGGACCACCTCGCCCGCTTCGGGGCTAACGTGGTCATGTACGCGTACCTGGAAGAGATCAAGTGTAGATGTTTCCTGGCAACACTGGAAGGGCAGGCTTGTGAATGGTTCCACAAGTTACCCAAAGGGTCGATAGATAAGTGGAGCGACCTGGCCCACAAGTTCTTGGAGCACTTCGCATCCAGCCGAAGACAGAAGCTCCCCTTCTCGCATCTGCTCAATGTGAAGATCCGAAAGGGGGAACAGCTCCGGGAATTCATAAACATGTGGGAGAAGGAGGCAAGGGACGTCCAAGGGGCGGATGACCAGGCCCTGATCGCCATGCTCCAAGCTGCACTCCCCCAAGGGGATGTGCACAAGGAGCTGCGACGGAATCCTCTCTCAACCTACCAGGAGATGTTGGCCAGGGCGAAGTACTTGGCGTTAGAAGAAGAAGATGATGAGCCACCAGTCCGGAAGGAGAAGAAAAGTGGGCCACCGGTGGCAGAAGGGAAGAAGAGAAAAGACTATGGTAAGGGGCCAAACCCTAACGGGTATCATGCGAACAGACATCCTGTTCACGCGGTACAGTCGTTGCCTACCCCTCCTCATAGCCGGGAAAGCTATGGTGTGCAGGATGCACCCAAGTACTGTGAGTACCACCGTAATAGCACCCACAATACGTCGGAGTGCGTTACGTTGAAAAAGGAGATGGATCAGCTGATCGCAAGAGGGCCACCTCCTCGGTCGGACCGACCGTCCTCGAGTAACCGGACCTGGAGAAGGCCATCAGCCCCCGCGGCAGCGATCACGGCGGGGGAAGGGCAGGAAGATGGGCGGCGACATC